TGGATGGATAGATGGATGGATGGATGGATGGATGGATGGATGGGTGGGTGGGTGGATGGATGGATGGATGGATGGGTGGGTGGGTGGATGAATGGGTGGACGGATGGATGTGTGGGTGGGTGGATGGATGGATGGATGGATGGATGGGTGGTTGGGTGGGTGGGTGGATGAATGGGTGGACAGATGGATGTGTGGGTGGGTGGATGGATGGGTGGTGGGTGGATGAATGGGTGGGTGGATGGGTGGACAAATGGACATACAGGTGAGTTGTGGGTGTTTGGGCGAGAGGGAAGAAACCTTTGCTGAAGAAGCATGCAGAGGCTGGACTCTGGCTGAGACCCCTCTTTGGCGCCCTGGGGCCCCCACACCTGCGCACCTTCCTGGCAGTTCTCTTCGTCACTCCCGTTGAGACAGTCGGGCTGCCGGTCACAGACTCTGGCCAGGGAGATGCACGTGCTGTCCTCTTGGCACTGGAACATGGCTCTGCACACTTGGGGACAAGGGCGGTGGCAGGAGACCGGGCAGCTGGGCTTGGCGACGCTGCCCGCGGCCGCCTCGCGACTTCCTCGGCTTCCTCACGTTTGCGTGTTCACGGGGACCCCGCCCCCGGGGGGAACTGGCCAATGGCTGGTCCAAGCTACCTGTCCTGGCTGAGCCCGGACCTGGGGCTCACGGGCTCCGAGTGTGGGCACCGCCCCAGGCCCGAGCCTCGGCGCACGGCGGCGCAGCCCTCTCTCTGCCCGCCTCTCGCCCCACACCGTTGCTGAAACGGGAGCAGGACGGTGTCCGGAGGCTGTTCCCCCTGGAGGGGGCGGCCCGAATGGTGACTCTGGGGCCCAGAACCCCTGGTGCAGGGGGGATTATTCTGGAGAGCCCAGGCTGGGGTTCAGGACACTGCGCCCCTTCTTCCAGGACTGGGCGGTGTGAGTACAATGTCCGTAAAGACCGGAAGCTCCAGCCTGAACCCCTGCGGTGGAGGGGTGCGGACCCACTCAAAGGAGGGAGATAAAGGTTTTTCTCTCTGGCCAGGAGAAAGGACCAGGCCAGCTGCCTTGCGTGGCCGCCGCCTGATCCTGGCCCTGCCTCATTCTCTCCATCCCTCTGGGATGCCGGGTGGGTGATGGCCTGGCGGGACGTGCCCTGGGCTGGGGTCAGGCGACCCGGGCCAGTCCCGAGGGCACTGCCCCGCAGAGGTCTCACCCCACTCTGCACTCCATCTTGCCGGGCCCTGGACACAGTAACTGACCCACAGGTGGGGGCCCGACTGGGAAGCTGCTGGGGAGCATGGGGCGGGTGGGCGGGCAGCTCACCGCAGTTCCGTTCGTCCAGGCCGTTGGGGCAGTCCTTGACCCCGTCGCAGGCGGGCACGCAGAGTCCGTTCACGGAGCAGAGGAACTCTCCCGGGCAGGCTGCGGGGACAGCGGCGTCGGGCACGCGGATGAGCCCCTGCGCGCGCGCACGTCCTCTGCACTCGAAGACGCGCACCTGCGCGCGCGCGCACGCCCTCTGCACCCGCCTCTGCGTGCCCAGTCCAGCACACGTCCACGGCGGTGCCCACAGCACACAGTGGACGGACAGAGGTGTGTCTGCCCGGGGAGCACACACACTCTCTGCAGTATCCAGCTCCCAGGGATGGCAGAGGCGGGGCGAAGGGGGGCGCCGGGAGTGGGGGGCCCCCATACTCACGGTCCGACTGGTTGTACAGGCTGTAGTGCACCTGCACGCCCGGCCCGGTGAGGAAGGTCTGGGAGGTGAAGTTGATGGTGATGCCGGCGGAGGCCACCACAGGGATCCTCTCGGCGTAGGGCTGCAGCGTGCGCAGGCCGCACAGCCTGGGAGACCAGAGAGGCTCAGGGCCACGTGGGCGGGCCTCGGAGGGAAAGCCGGTCTGAGGGGGCAGGGGAGGCGCACGCCCGCCCCCACCTCCTCTGTCCTGACTGCTCCCTTGGGTGACCGCTCACCCCCACGGCCATCTTCTAGAGAGCAGCCTGGCTACGTCACTTGTCCGCCCCAAACCTTCCATGGCTCCACACTGGCTGTAGGATGAGACCAACGTCTAGATGCCAGTCCCGGCCACCCCGGAACCCTCAGAGTTCCCGCCCTGCCCCTGACTCTGTCCCTCCCTGTGAAACAAGGGGCCTGAGCGCTGACCAGCCGCTTCACTGTGTCCTAGGCTGAAGTCCTCCACTGGTCTGTAATGTGTGGACAGAAGTCGCTCCCCTTGGCTGGGACTGGATGACACACAACTCCCTCCCCGTTCAGCCCTGACCCTCCTGCTGGAGAGTGGCCACTGCCCCAGAGAAGATGCCTCACAGGACAGAGGGGTTGGCTCCTTCAGCTCTCAGGACTGCCCCCCAGAAAGGGAGCACCCCACAGGGCACAGAGATGGGGGAGGCAGCCAGAAAAGTGGTGGTAAGACTCCCACAGAGGTAGAGGTGTCGAGAGAAGGTGGGAGGAAGCTGGGGGGGCGGGAGTGGGGGGACGCATTGGGGGAGGGTCCACAGAGCAGGTCACCCATCCCAGGGGCAGGGGCTTCCCGAGAACTTCCAGAACGCACAGTGCACTAACAAGTCAACCGCGTAACCAGCAAGTAACCCGTGAACACCTGAGGAAGCATTTTTGGGTTGTCTTAACCCAAAACTGGGGGTCCCTCCCGGCCTCAGCAGCAGCATCACAGACCTCCTTGGTCAGGAATTTCAGGGTTCTTGCAGCCACTCCACCCCGAGGGGGGGATGATTCTCACCCTGTTTTACAGATGAGGCCCATAAGGAAAAGAGCCACGTGGGAGCCCAGTCTCTCTGGAGAACCCACCTGTCCTGCCGACTCACCCCGAAACTCGGGCGCCAGGGCCGAGCCGGGCAGTCACCCGCCCCCCTGGTCTCGCCTGGAGCCTCCCTGTACTCTCCGGCCACACTGTCACTCTCAGACCAAGAAGCGGTTTTCAAAATGTGTCCAGAGAACCCGGGAGGGTCCACAGGACAAATAACTTGGCATCACAATGCACAGACATCTTTGCTTTTTGAGAGGATCCCGGAATTTTCCAGAGACCGTGATGTTTGGAATGGGGAGCACCGGCTGCTATTCCTGCCATTTAGGAAAGTGGCGAAAATGGAAGGCGATGAGACTTTTCTCACCAAATGTTAATTTTTCATAAAATATGTTATTTATGTTAAAATGTAATGGGTTGATTATGATTTTGAGTGAGTTGATTTTTAAAACGTTCTCAGTTTTCACCTCTAACACTGAAAACATAAACCATAGAATCTGTAGCCTGCATTCCTAGGGTGTATGATCATTTCAAATGGTGTCAGGAACGCTAGGATGGAAATTTTTGAGAACTTTCATCCAATTTGCTCAAGTCACCTGGGGACCCGGCTGGAACGGGTCACCACCAGGGGGCGCCCTGGCGCAAACCTGCTCTTCCGTCCTTTCAAAAAGTAAACAAGGGTGGTTGTGTTTGTTGTGAAAGTGGACGAGTCTGTGTCACCACGGGTTACTATCCCCAGAGAACTTCCTGGGAAACAGACAAGGACTTAAGGCTGGGAAGTGCTGGGCAGGGGGAAGCAGTCGAACACACTGGACCTCCCCCCAGCTCAGGGATGGACACTGTCCCCAGGTGGTCTCAGGGAGATGTGGAGAGACTGGAGTTATAGGGGGTGTTGGTGGGGAGTGTATGCTTCCATCTAGAAGAACTTGAAGGCCGAGTGGTCACCGCAAGTGATGGCCAGGGGTCATCAGGACGGCACACAGGGGTTTTCTGGAAACCCAGAGAATTTCAGTATCAGCCATAGCTCAGCCTGGCATGTCGGGATCCTGCCCTGCTGGTGGGTGGGTG